CTTACAATAAAATAGCAATCAGAAAATCAACCTAAAATTGTGATTATTTGCCACTTGGCTTCTGACTATTCCCATCAGGCACCTTGGGAGACCTAGGCAGTGCCCAATGAAGCTCGGCCCCACACAATGTCTTGCAGAGAGAGGGTGATGAGAATGGCACATTGTCTGCCCGTCTGAACAGAGGTCACAGCAGGGAGAGCATCTGCTAAGATAATGTGAATGAAGGAAACAACTATAATTGCCTCATTAGGAGATCTCTGGCCAAATAATCACAAGAATAAAAGGACTTGGAAAACCACCCTAAAATTAAGTCAATAATAAGGTAAATGTGAGACAGAGTAAAAAATGTAGAAGAATTAAGGCGACTTGGGTATTCTATTGGTTTTACTATTTTTCTTAGTCACTGTATGAATGAAAAGAAAGTTGGATGCAACAGTTCAGTTATTCAGCTCCCGTCCTTGCCAGTCATTAGTAGGAAGCAGAAGATGCAAATTCACAGCTGTCTGGGATACAAACAAATGTAAAATAAAGGGTTCTGGGACCAAAAATAGGAAATAAGAAGGGATACCTACTGTTTTATATTGTGAAATTACAATGAAAAGCATATAATCAAAGGCATGAGGAATAGTTTAAGAGGGAAAGGACTAAAATTAAAAGAGCAAAGTATCAGAAAAACAAAACAAAACAAAACAAAAGAACAAAGCTGTCCCTGCCTGATCAATTAACTTTCTTCTATTTTCTACCTCTAACTTTTAAAACTAGACTTTCCTTAAAAGTCAACAGCATAGAATTACAACTAAACCCTGAGTCACCTGAAATTGTCAGCTGATATAGGTGTATCTGTTTTATTTAACATTGTTGATAAATTAAAATTTCATACCAAAAGCTAAGATAAATGTTTTTCTAATTTAAATTTAAATTACCCAAACTAATCACAAGACTGAAATGTAATGACACTGTGACAAATTATTTTTGCATTTCCTGATATTTTGAAGTTAAACTTTATGAACTTAATTCATATTATACAGTCAAAACATATTATATAAATAGGTTCTTGAAGTGAATTAAAATTAATAAATTTTTATGATTCCAACAAACACAATAAAATTAGCTTGTTACACCCATAAGCCAGGTTTAAAATAAGCAAACTATTTGATGGCTTTGATGTTTTGCACCCAAAATGTGCTGGCTAATTTTTCCATTCCATTTACCATTCCAGTCTTTAAACTGCCTTAATCTCCTGCCCTCAGATGTTGACCTTGTAAGAATAGGGGTCATAGGTCAGAACAGAAAGACCTCAAAGGATCTGGACTATCAATTCATGCCTGAGAGATTTCTCTTCCACAATAGGAACCTACGAAACAGCAAATTCCTAAGTCTAATCACACAAGTATCAGGGTGAAACTGTTATTTATTGGAATTTGTTAATTTACATATTTAAATATCTCTACCACTTAAAAAGTATTTTTCCTTTTCTTTTGGAGCAGATTCTCAGATAAATAAATATGAAAATAAAATAATTTAAAGAACTTTTCATGTAAAACAAATATCCTTAATATGATTGTATCATACACCTAAATATAGATTTATTACTTTAAGGCATTCCATCTAGATTTTAAAAATCCTGAATTCCTAGCCATAAAGAATCTGAAAAACTTTAAGTTATACCACAACATAATGTCTAAAAGAGGTTACCCTGCTGTAGGTGTGGGTGAGTGTGTGTGTGTGGGGGAGGGGTAAGGGTTAGAGAAGGATTACCACAAGTTTTGAGTGTACTTAGGTAAATGGACATTCAAAGAATATTTTTAAATAAACAAATCAAAATATACAGTCCTTCAATATAAACGAATATCTTATGGCTCCCAAACTTTCTTTCAAATTAAAAGAATTTGAAACACAAAATTATTGCCCTGTAAAAGTAATCATACACCTTCACTTTTATCTTTAAAAAGGGCAAGTTAGATCTTCTGAGCTAAGAATATAAATATATTAAATTAAAAGAGCAAAGTATCAGAAAAAAAAATCAGAAAAGTATCAGAAAAACAAAATAACATATATATTTATATACATTTATATTCATATGTAATGAGTTTCTGTTCATGTTCACCTTGTCTTTCACACCATAAACAGTAAATATATCATAATATGTCATTCTCATATCATTTTAATAGTGGACTAAAAGGAATGCCATGTTTCATAATCAATTTTAAGTCTAAAGGAACAGCATCTTAAAAATGCTAAATGAATAAGACTTTCTAATATGATCAAATGAAACTTTTTTCCTATACTTACAAGCCAAAAGCATTACTACTGAACTATATAGCAATTACCCTTCTTTCTAAAAATAAATTAAAATTCCAACTCATGTAGAAAATGAAAAAGCTTACTCATGTACTAATGCAGTGATGCAAATAAAATATTGCCTGAAATGGAATAAAAGCAGTAGAACAACGATATTCTTTCTAAGTTATTTTATAAATATCAAGTCAATGTTGTTGAAAAGAAACTTGCATTATAAATAGCACTTCTTGGACTACGTGGTTGGGTCAAAAGATATGGAAGGTTAAAGAGAACAAAAAAGATAGTCACTACCCAAGGAAAAAATCAGAATAAAAAAGAAGGTAAAAAAAACCCAAACAATTAAAAAATATGAAGCTATATGTATATATCCAATTATATATATATATATACCATGTATGCATGCACTTCAATTGATTTTAAAAATTACATGTTTTTATTCTTTAATTATTAAGAATTAAAATAATTTAACACACATAGAAAGATTTCCAAATGAGTTATTTTAGTATACATGCTGTTTATACATATAACATATTTATTAATATAAACTAAAATTTTATTATATAAAATATTTAATCATATGTTGTAGGCTGACATGATTATTTCATGTAAATACTAAACACCAACAGTGGCAAATACATAATCATTCTTCCCCCATTTCTTCCTGTTAAAAAATACTTCTTTTTCTCATAGTAAATTGTGGTTTATTAAAGAATAAAACCATAAGGGTAGGCCAGTTTGTGAGAAAAAATATAGAGTTTAAAAATATTTTTTCTTTACAGCCTTCATTTTACTATAAAAAGAGCGTTGTAAGGGTTAGTCAACCTCTACTCTTTAGTAAGAAAAACTAAATAGCAAAAATAAATCTAAAATTATTTCATTTGAAAGTTTTAAGAAGACATTTTAAATGTGGAGGATTTAAAATAAAACAAGATAACACTGCTTCTGGGTAACTTGACACTAGTCACTGAACACTAAATTGAGAACAATTTTAAGACAGAATGAAAAAATAACCCCACTTACTTTTGTAACTAGTTTACTCAAAATTAAGGCAAAAATCTTTTAAATTATTTTGTGTTTCTTGCCATAAATCTTCACAAAATGTGTTTTTATCATATATGTATTAGAATTGAACAAACTATATATATAAAACAAATTTGATATATATAATATAGATTAGTATTGAACAAGTAAGTTCTTTTGAGTGACAGAACCAAATTTTGAATTTGTTAAATGTTTTAATTGCCTATAATAAAAACTTTAAGATTTAATATTTTACCTTGAAATAATAGAAAGTAGATTAAACTTTTTAATTAAAAACATTTCAAGATAAAATTATTTTTTTCAACAGATAGCACTTGAACAATTTATATTATTCATACAAAAACAACGCCTCAACCTAACCCAAACACCTTATATGCATAAGTATACTCTAAAAAGATTACAGATATAAATGTAAAATGTAACTCTATAAAGCTACAAGAAGAAACATGGGGGAGGGGAATCTCTGGGATCTAGGGTTAAGCAAAGATTTCTTAAATAAGACATCACATAAATATAACATAAAAGATTGATAAGTGCCTTTATCAAAATTTAAAACCTTTCCTCTGTGAGAGATGTTTAAGAAATTGGAAAGATAACCCACAAGTTCAGAAAAAAGATTTGCAAACTGTATGTCTGACAAAGGACTTTTACTTACAGTTATATAAAGAGCTCTCAAAATGCAATAGTAAGAAAACACACAATCCAATAATGGGCAATAGGTATAAACCAAAGAAAATAAAAGGATCACACAAAAACAAAAAAGAAACTCAATATCAATATCCATTAGGGAAATGAAAATAAAATCCATGACGACATATCTACCTGCTAGAATAGTTAAAATAAAAATACTGTCAATAACAATGCTGGCAAAGATGCAGAGCAGTTGGAACTCTCATATATTGTTATTGGGACTTCAAAACAGTATAATCACTCAGGAAAAAATGTTAGCAGCTTCTTATAAAGTTAAACATATAGCTATGACCATATTATCCATCAATCCTACTCTGAGATAAATGAAAAACTTAGGTTTCTTGAACAGTGGTACCCAAATGTTTGTAGTCACTCTATTTATGATTGCCAAATTGGAAATGCCCAAAGATTAATTCACACTGTAGGAAGCTGTCTAATAATTGTCCTAATAATTGACATGAAATGTTCCGTGACATATTGTTAAGTAAAAAACAAATTTCAAAAAATTACATAATAATATAATTCCCATCTCAGTTTGTATTTCAAGTGATTTTCCCCTAACTTCTTTTTTTTTAATATTTGAATTTTCTGTATATGAGTTATGAGTTATGATATGAGTTATCCATTAAAAACAGGCAAAACAATAGGTATATTTCCATTTGAAAAAAGAGGTGAGGTGTTGGGATATATGGTAAGACCACATCTGTGGTCTCAGAATAGCCTAATAAAAATGGTGGCAGGGGATGGACTGGTCAGTGTGCAATGCTGAGCGTTCAGTATGCACTGCAGGTAACTCAAATTGCAAGAGAGCCCATATTACTGAAAAATCCCATTCAGCTACACAGCGGTGACATGTTATTTGTACTAGACTATATGAAGTCCAATAACATAAAAACATAAATAAATTTTCGAAAGTCTTTCCTAAATGCAATAAGCTCACCACTTAGCAAATTAAAATGATGACGTACCTATCTCCCTTTGGTCTCCTTTTCTGTAGTGCCTTCCCTTTGGGTCTTCTTTCACTTCCTACACAGGGGCTCCCGCCAGGTCCTGTTACCCGTATTGATTCAAGGCCTTTGGAAGATTTTTTAAATGTGAATTCCACCGGTTCTCCTTCTTTTAGGCTTCTAAATCCTTCCATGAATAATTTGCTCTGTAAAGAGCAGGGAAGGAAAGGGGAGAGAAAGAGAGATCATGATTATCAATGCTTTATAAATTATCTCTATTATTGTAAGATTAATATAGCAAAATATTCTTTGTTACTTATTACTACGTATAAAGTCTTTTTTGTTGTTGTGTAAGTTCAGTGATGGTTATATGCCATTTTAAAGTTTACTTTTGCAATGCTGGCAGTGAGAGAATAAACTAACACCAGGTTTTAAAGGCAATTTGGCAACTTACAAAAATTTAAATGTGTATATTCTTTGGCCCAACGATTCCATTTCAAGGACTCTCCTACAGACATACTCACACAAAGGTTAAAACACACACACACACACACACACACACACACAAACAAACAAACAAACAAAAAAAACCTATTTCAAAATTTACCAGCACTGTCTGGTAAGAAAATAACTACCCTAATGTCCATCGCTGGTAAATTGATTAAACAAATTGTAGTAGAGCTATAGAATGTAATGTCATTAAGCCATTTAAAGAAGATCTGCATGTATTAATGTAGGAAGATAAACATGTAACGTTGTTGATTTAAAAAATTAAGATTAAAGAAGAGTGTGTTTTCCATAATACCATATATGTCAAGAAGACTTTATATATGTAGAGATGGAATCTGGAACAACGAAGTCATTTTTCAGTCCTTTTCTGGGTAAGTGGGGAAACTTTTAGATAATACACATGATTGTACTGTGTGAACTTTTTATAACTTGAAAGAAAATACATTTTTATAGCAAGAAAGATGATTTTCTTTTTGGTGGTGGGGGGGGAAGGTTTTCTGATTACAAACGTGTAACCTTGGCTACAAGTGTGAACTGGCTCTTTGGATTTTACTCTTTTTGTCAAAGTAAATGTGCCAATTCAAAATATACTTTTAAAAAAAGTTTGAAAATCACTAGTTTATTTCTTCAACCCTCTTTGTGTATATTTTACAGATCTAATTTGGAATCTCATGTAGTCTTAAAAGAATTCCCCCCCACCCTGAATTTAGGGGCAACAAGGTACAAAACGAAATATGGTAGAAGACATTGGTCCAAGTGTGCAGGTGTGAATGAGTCATTTTATCTCTTTTCTATGTATCTGAAAATTTAAGGGAGTTGAATTTCCCCACATGCATTCTGAGGAACAGTGAGTGGTTCCAAAACAGACTCCGTAAAGAAGGGATTTGGAGGTCAATAAGTTTGTGGAACACTGTACAACGTGTTGTTTCTCTTTAGTCATCGTACTAAAGTTTCTGAGATGCTCTCCCCTCTCCCCACACCGAAATAAGAATCTTATCTAACTGTGTTTAACCTAGCAATTTCCTGACATAATTGATGCCAGAGCCCTTGTTTTATAAGTACAGATGACTAGCGCACTTAGGGAAACACTGAACCAGAAAATCTCTACCCCTCGCAAGTCAAAAGGACAGCACAATAATTATAAATAACCAAGTGATTATATGGAACAAATAGAAACAATACTTCCAAGTTCAACCAAAAGGAGTGTATTCATTGTGAAAGTAATACGATATGTGAAAACAGGGTTTTTTAACTGGTTTTAGGTCACCTGACACTGCGAAACCCTTCCAGGGGAAGTCTGCAACTGGCAGCACCTTTTCGGCTGTCTGATGCGATGAAAAACAAGACAAAACAAAAAAGCACAACTGCCCTTTAAAATAAAAACAATGATAGTTTTTAAAGCTTTTTTTTTTTTTTTAAATAACACCCAATCTTCTCATTTCCCCTAAGCTTTCCTTCACGAATTATAAAGAGTTCTTTTGCTTTCATCCCCTTCCTTACTTCTCACTCAAGAAAGTACAGATTATCAAATCAGACGAAGCGGAGTATAGGTCAACTATTGCAATTAAGAGAATGGACACAGGTTTGTTTCTGCAGTAAAATTCCATCACTTATTTATTTACTCCTCATTTCTAGTGTCCATAGGCACTATCACCATTTTTATTTTATTTCACTTACCATTATTACAATTTTTGACAGGTATCAAAACTCATAATTGATCACTTAGATTGGGCCTTCCAAATCTAAACTTCCATCTCTTTATACTTCACTAAGTTCTGTATATTATTCATGATATTATGAAAGAATAGTTCTTTAAATTATATCATATATTGAAACATACATGAACTTCAAATAATAAAATTTAGCAAAGTGTTGATATGGTTGCTTTCAAGAGACAATGTCATTTTCAAATATAGAATGAAAATAAGGCTATTAATTTATTTTTAGTGTAAATTGACTTACTTAGAGGTTTGGAAAAGAAAATTGTATCATTTAAAATAACCTACTAAATTTATTATGAGGAAAAAACAAGTATTGACACGGGAAAGTCTTATTGATTTAGCAATGTGGCACTACAATGTCATTAGGCTTATGAAATGTCAGTAGTAACATTTTTAAAAGTTTGAACATAAAACTTTGAACTAAAATTTTATAAATAGAACTAAAATAAAATATAAATAAAATTTTATCTAACATAAAGGTCCTGACATATTTTTTAAATGATATCATAAAGTAATATGATTTTAAAACTTTAAAATAAAAATAAAAAACTTTTATTTTCAACCAAGAAAGAACACTAAGTCAGCTGAATAATTTGGTCATCTTAGATCTTGAAATTGTACATTTATAACTCAAGGTACAAGTGATTGTTAAATGTTGTCAGCAACTCAACACAATAAAAACGACCTAAAATTCTTTCAAGATTCTGAATCAGTATCTTTCTTTTTCTTTTCTTTTCTTTTTTTTTTTTTTTTTAAGAAACTGCTACTGAGGAAAACAGCTCCCCTATTAATGTCTTTACTTTCACTACATTTATTGAACATAATAATTTTCATCAAGTTGTCAAGGGTGAGGAGCAGTTCTTAAATCATAAAGCTGGAGAAGTTGAAGCTGGAAGGGAGCTTAAACATCTCACTCTTGGAAGACACATATAGTGTAAAATTCATTAAGATAGCAAGAGCATAATGAAATTATAGGCACTGTGTAGCTCAGCTGGTTGGAGCATCATCCTCTACATCGAAGGGTTTCAGGTTCGATTCTAGGTCAGGGCACATACCCAGTCTGTTGCTAGTTTGAACCCTGGTGGGGGTGCATACAGGAGGCAACGTATTGATCTCTCTCTGTTTCTGTCTCCCTCTCCTCCCTTTCTTGAAAAATCAATAAAGTAAATTAAATTTAAATTTAAAAAGAAATTACCAAATGTGCATAAGTGAAATACCATTATGGTAGCCATTACAGCTATTATAAATATTCTAGTTACTCTGTTCAGGGCAAATGGCAAGTACTATTTCACTGTTGTATTTTAAACTAGGCATGAAGATATGACTTGCTTTGGTCATGAAATGTGAGTGGAAGTGGCTTGGGGTACTTTGGGATAGAAGCGTTAAGAGCTAGTGCACAATCTGCCTTATTCTCCTCCCCTTCTCAGCAATCATGGAAATATGTTGCATGATGAAGCTTCAGTCAGACTGAGTCCTGAAGTGAGGTCATGAGCAGAAGGCTCTGCAGACCACACATGTAGTATGAGGGAGACAGAACTTTCATTGTGTAGCCACAGAAAACTTGAAACTGTTAGCAAAACCTAACCTAGACTGACCTGAGTGTTACAGAAATAGGAATCTAGAGCTGACTTGTGGCCATAACAAAAGCCTAAAATATTTAAGCATTAAGCTTGGTGAGTGGGAGGAAGGAAAATTATACTGGATGGCAATCCATGCATGTGATATCAAAGCATTTGTAAAAACTGTCACGTAACAAAATGGCCTGGTCAGTCTTAAAAATGGACAGCTAATCATCACCAGACATTTCAATGTGAAAGGACGGAAGCAAAAGAAGCAAACAAAAAAAGCCTGGAGGAAACAAAACAATGTTGGGAAAAGAAATCTTAAAAATTTACAGTTGACATCCTCTAACAGAGATTACATTGCATCCATAAAACATACTCCTGGGCAGTGGTTTAGTGGTCCTACAGCTAACTGATCCGTCTTAAAATAACTGTGAGTAAGGGCAGGGTTCTCCTATCAGCTTCAACACCTTCTCTTTCTCTTTGGATTACCTCTTCATTCAAAACTAAAAGTCCTTTAAAATTGTTGCATCTAAGGGAATAAAAATACCCAAAGTTAACTATAATAACAATAGATGTCTAAATTTTTTTAAACCTACAATTTAGAGATGAAGAAATTAAATCCCAAATTAACTACGAAAAATTAAATGCCCAAAGTCTTATAACTAGAAAATGGCAAAGTTGGGACAAGATCACATTTCCTGTCTTCAAAGTTAATGTTCTTTTTTTTCTCAGTACCTACAAAATATTGTTTCCCACAAGCTCAACTTTATAGTATTTTACAGTTTAACACAGGAAATCTCTATTACTGATTAACTTGAAGGATCACCAACAGAATGTGATGCAATGACAGAAATGTTCTGTCTTTGTGCTGTCTGAGATGGTAGCTATTAACAGGCCACAGGTGGCTACTGAGCACCTGAAATACTATTAGTGCAATGGGAGAACCAAATATTTTATTAATTTAAACAGTCACACAGGCTAGTGACTACCATTTTGGACAGCACAGTCTTGGAGTTATGCCCTAAAGATCTGAGGGGTACTTTGCAAAGGAGGTTTGAAAACAAATCACACTGTATATATTGCTCGGTCTACTAAAGCAAGAGACTTAACATAGGTAATAACTATGAATCATATTATTTTGAAATGTTTTTATTAACTGCATGACCACCTGACCACCTTCATCTTCCAATCTATGTATCAGAGAGCAGGATATTGTATGCTATGGGAGGAAAATCTTGATGGCTGGTGCAAGGTTGGGCAAAGAATGAACAAACTCTCCTTCTAAAAATTCAGAGGATCTCTTCAAGTGCTGAGCCTGCTCCAGTGATCACAGAAAGTCACAAAACCAGGGGATCTTCCCAGGCATGAAATAAGTTCCACAACTCTGCGCTAAGTCTTTCATTGGATAAA